TCATTCTCTCTCTCTCTCTCAAATAAATAAATAAAATCTTTAAAAAAAAAAAAAGTGAACTTTCAAGTCAAAGTTCTCAACCTCTAATATTTGAGGGTAGAAAAAAAAAACTTTGTCTCTAAAAACAATGTGCCTTTGGACACAATTCCAAATCGTGTACAAGGAGTGCTTCCAACATAAAAAATAACCATCATTATTAATAAAATAGTAATCCTAAACCTGGCTCTCAAAACCAGAAAAAAGCCTGCCAAACATCTGACAATTCATAATATGTACTTCTTGGTATTGTAACTACTTGAACTGAATCACACAAGCAGTAATATACATAATATTTTAATTAAGATTAAAAACGTTGACACTAACACCGAAAACCAGCGTTCCCTAATGTACTGACCCAGCTTTCAAAGAAAATTCATTTTTATGGCTCTGTTACAGGTCAGATAAATCGCTCTCCCATAACCTGTACTTGGTGGAGAGCTTATTGCTCAATGTGCGATGAATGAAACCGTCACTCAGGATCAAGTTGTGTCTCTCCAAGTGCCCCCGTGGAAAAAGGAAGGTGGGTTACTCATTAAGGTGGTAAACGAATACCAATAGGAAGGAGGTTGTCCTGAAGCAAAGCTCTTCGGGTTCGGTGCCCTCTCCTGGGAGATGGTGGGCAGCAGGAATACGCCTCAGCTGATAGCAGGGACACCCGGGGCAAGACGCGCAGGGCAAGGCTCCCAGCCAACCGTCCCACGCCGCAGGTGGAGGGCTGGGTGCCAGCCAACACCAGCCACTGGACGCCCCCGCAGCCGTCCCCGCCCAAGAGCAGAGTCGGCGATCGCCGGCAGTGCGAGGCCTGACAGCCCGGGAAGGTGAGGGGGCCTCTCCCACCCGAGCAGCCACCGTGAAACGGGAGGAGGGAGGAGAGCCCCCGGGCTACAGTCTGCAAGGCCGGGGTCTGCGGGCGCGCCGGAGAAGCATCCCAGCCCCGCCTCCTTGCCGCCCCAGCCAGGTTCCAGCAGGTCACCTCACCTCGGCCGGAACGGGCAGGTTCTCTGCCGCCGCCTTCAGCTCCAGCACCGAGTCCATCTGCCTGTCGGTCAGCGGCGCCGTCGTGTCGGGTCTCCGATCCCAGAGAGCCAGCTTTTCCCGAGCGTCGCGCTCTGCCGCCGCCTCAGGCGGCAGCAGGAGCGCCGCCTCTGCCATTGCCGCTGCCCCTGTGGGACTCAGCAGCAGCGGGGTGGTGGGGACCCCGACAGAGAGGCCCGGGCCACTTCCGGGGGAGCCCGGGCTTCCAGCAAGGCACCGGCGGCGGGGCGGGGCGGAATAACCTGACCCCGGAAATGCTTCCACTGTGTGTGGGCGGGACCGAGGCAAGGATAGACGTGGCTCTAAACGGGGTACAAATATTTCCGGTTGGGATATAGAAGAAGCGGGCAAAGAATATAGGCCCTGACGGAAATAGAAATGCCCCTACCGGAAGTCTCTTTCTCAACTTCAATAACTTTATTGTTACGTGTTCTTCAGGTTATTGACAATTGAGTTACCTGACCCTGCCGGCAGAGGTCCTCCTGAACTCCAGGATCTCCAGCCTCAGTTCACAGCTGACTAGTCTGGGTGGAGTGTGTGGACCGTGTGATTTCCGTGTGGACATGTTGACAGTTTCCACCGCCTAGATCACAACCACCAGTATAAACTTTTCCAACATCCAAATAATTCTGCTGTTAGAAAACCAAGTTATGAAAACACATAAAAACTCAAAGATTTCTGTATATGAAAAATCTTTAATAGTATCAAAGAACTCGGGGGGCCTGGGTGGCTCAGTCGTTAAGCAGCTGCCTCCCGCTCAGGTCATGATTCCGGGGTCCTGGGATGGAGCCCTATGTCGGGCTCTCTGCTCGGTGGAGCCTGCTTGTCCCTCTCCCTCTGCCCGCCGCTCTCTGCTTGTTCTCTCTCTCTCTCTCTCTCAAATAAATAAATAAAATCTATGTCCAACACTGAAGAATTGGATTAATTCATGGCACAGACATGTAATTGAAATACTATTCAATCCAAGGGTGCCTGGGTGGCTCAGTCGGTTAAGCCCAGGAAAGCCCTGGACTCTTGAATTTGGCTGCAGTCATGATCTCAGGGTCCAGGGGTAGGGCTCCATGCTCATCCTGGAGTCGTCTTGGGATTCTCCCTCTCCTCTCCCTCTACCCCTCCCCGCTGCTCTCATGCACTCTCTCTCTCTCTCTCTCTCAAATAAATAAATCTTTAAAAAAACACTATTCTGTCTTTTAAATCATGTAGTTTTGACAAATAATTAAAAACAAATATAGTATTGGATAATTTGTAAAATAAAAGTTCTATAATTTATAGAATAAATAAATATCTGTGAGTCCATATTGACATAAATAAATGATTGGATGAGTAAATGAGGGAGAAGGGATAATTCTACAGAGGAATTCCTATCAATAAATATAGAATGAGGAAAATAGAAATAATTGACAGACAAAATCTAAGAATGGGTTCTAAAATTAGTGGGTGAAAGTTTGAGGAGAAACAAATTTGCACTGTATCAAATGATCTCCCCAAGGTATTTATTAATAGCAATGAGGGGCTCGGATATTTTACAGTGGAGAAACCTGGCAAGTATCACCTTCACCAAGCCACAAAGGTCAACGTCATCATCATGAAACTCCTGACATGATAAGTTGAGGAGAAGGACACAGTATCACTTCTGTGGTATTCCTGCCAAAAATGCAAAACTACATTCTAATTATGAGAAAACATCAGACAAACCCAAATTGAGGGACATCCTGTAAAGCAAGTGACCGGTATTTTTCAAAAGTGTTAAAATCATAAAAGACACAGAAAAACCACGGAACTGTTACATTAGGAGATGAGGGAGGCATGACAGCTGGATGCAGTGTAGGAATCAAGATTAGATCCTGGGACAGAAAAAGGGAAAACTATAGAATAAAATAAAGATATCTGAATAAAGTCTGCAGTTTAGATTACACTATTGTACCAATGTTAATTTCCCAGTTTTGATTATTGTACATGATTTTGTAAGATGGTAACATTGGGGGAAGCTGAATGAAGGGCACACCTGAACTCTGTACTACATTTGCAACTTTTCTGAAGTCTAAAATTACCTAAATGTAGGTGATTGGGATTACTAATTATGTTTTTTTTCTTTTCTTTTTTATTTTTTTTGTTTTAAAGGATTTATTTATTTATTTATTTATTTGACAGAGAGATAGAGAGCACTAGTAGGCAGAGTGTCAGGCAGAGGGAAAGGGAGAAGCAGGCTCTCTGCTGAGCAGGGAGCCCGATGTGGGGCTCGATCCCAGGACCCTGGGATCATGACCTGAGCCGAAGGCAGACGCTTAACCAACTGAGCCACCCAGGTGCCCCTCTTTTCTTTTTTTTTTATCATTCAACCCAGCTTCAGAGCATTGTTTCCCCATCAAACCACTCCACCACCATTTCCTAGAGAAAATCATCTTGTAGATACATAGAGACATGTGGATCTACTCATCAAAGTACCTAACACACACTCTCTTCTTGCCAGACTGATCTCTAGTTCCAAAAATCTCAGAAATAAAATTAATTCTGTTGAGTTTTGTGATGTCAATTCTTCACCAAACATCATCCTTTTATATTCATCCAAATATAAGCATATTTTTCTCCCAAATGTGTTTCTATTGCAGATTTTCCTAAATCCATGATCACTCTACTTTCTTCTAAATATTATGTTTAATTCCTTAAAATATTTTTAGTAACTGGTGATTTGTGATGCTAAAGTGTTGGAGGATATCATCGAGAAGACATGACCACCAGTTGACCTGAGAGCTGGACTTAGGTCATCAAAGGCTCCTCACCTCTTCCCCTGTCCTTGGACTGTAACTTCTGCCCACCACTCCCACAGTGGGAGCTGTTTTCAAGGATGCAGCCTT